TCTTGTTTTTTGAGCAAGTTTTCGTGTTCTCTGGTATCTGGGCAGACTATGCAGTTTAATTGAGTTGACGTAGGATGACGTAGGGGGTTTGGCGGAAGGGGCCGCCAGACAGAACGATGACAAACGCAGAAACGCACGGCGAGAAAAAGTGCGAAATTAATTGAAGGGTGTTTCAGATGTGCATGACTCTGCAGTTAATTCTTGGCTTGATGTGTAGGCTGGCCAGATTAATTTAGAGACTTGCTACTCTAGGTACTCCTAATTAATAATATCAGAGATCTTCCTTAATTAATTGAGATTAGAGGGGGGGGCACTGGTAGTTCTTAAAGAAAATTAATTTGGTTTTTGTAAAACGTGATTAAATAACTGAGGTCCCCATCAATTAGTTATTTTTATTAATTGACTAGTACCCCCAGTTACCCCCCCTGCCAACGCACGACGCATGGAAGAACGGATGGCAGAGTAGATAATGCATTAGTTTTGTTTGGTGGGGGTCGAAAGATAGACTTTCATAATTGAAGCATGTTGAAACTGTGTTGACTTGATCTTTGTTATTCACTCACCATTGGTCATGATTGACGTTCCCAGCAATGCACAGTGAACCTTTATGGTCGGTGTCCACCAGTGTGCTGACAGAAAGAGAGCTTGCTTCGTATTGGGATGGCCTCCACGGAAGCGACTGGCAACGTTGTTCTTTTGTACTTAACACAGGCGGGTTTGTTGATTCCCTTCAGTTTCAAGGTCTATAGTCTATAGCATGTAGGTCTTCTTTTCAGGTGTTCCAGAAGAACACTGATCAGACTCCTAGGCCTTATTTCCCCCGACAGGCGGATGGCAAAGGCATTGGCTTGCGCTTTCCTCGCTTCCTGCGCATCCGAGACGACAAGACAGCTGAGGACCGTCCTGGGATCGATCCTCGATTCCCGGTCAAGCATGTCCTGCCTGTCAAGCTGCAGCTCATGGTTTTCATATTGTTTTCATGCGTTTTCCTGTTTTCATGACACACCTCGGCAAAGGGTCAACCTGTCATTTCCAGGCAATGTCTAGAGCTGAGAGTGGATGATCCCTCTCTTGGCCTGGAAGAACCAGACAAGCCGTTGAGTTTGAGTGCCTTACTAGTGGCAATATCTCCATGCAACTGCACAACATGTCCTCTTCGCAAATGAAAACATGAAATGCACAAGTGTCGACTCTCATAGCACCCTTGACCGTCCCTTGAACCTGGGCGCCATGATAAACCTCTAACCTTGGACTCCAAAGACTCACCCTGAACTCCAATCGACAGTCGTCACGTCACTCGTACATACCGATAGATGCACACAATCCCCACACCTCCGAAGCCAACAAGTCCATAACAATATACATGTATACTGCATATATATGCATATATAATATACACAAATATACACCTAATAGCAGAAAAAGATCGATCAAAAAGCACACACATGTCACCATCATGTCCCCCAATTCCAGCAACATTCCAGCGAGTTCCCAGTCGTGATTTTTGAAGTGATCCCTTCGCATTCCTCGTCCGCAGGAGTCCACGGGCCCTGAGCAAATCGTCGAGATGTTTGAGGCCCAAGCCTCGGTTGGTGGCGCTGGACACGTCGGGCGCCCAGGACGGGTCGGAGGCATGGTGAACCCGAGTCGGTGGTACTCGGGTTGGAGGCCACGGTGTGCCACGGTGAGCCCTCCAAATCCGATCAGTCGCCACACTGAACGGAACTGTGTGGCACCCTTTTCTTTGGATTCCGGAGAAGCTACACAATTTGGATTTCAATCCTAGGTGGTGGATGTGTCAAAGTCAAAAGTCGCTGCTTGCAAATAAGTTTCTATGTACATACGAAACCCCACTGCCACTTCATGCCAGCGTCTTCACGTGACGCCCGTGTAACAGAGTAACCAGCCACTAAAGTCCTTGCAGAGTGACCAGAAGTTGATGAGTTGATGACTTCTGGTCAATAAAACAACTTACTGAGCGACAGCCAAACTGTCGGGGATGAGGGTTGGGATGTTTTCACATCCAGGTGTTCACAACCGTTTGCACGGCATGGCCCGGTCTGTCCAACAGAATAGATATATGCTGTGCAGGTTGTGGATAGAAAGTAAGTAGCAATACTTTGGGGGTGGTGTCGTCATTCGCAGAGACAACTAGGGTCATGTCAACTGGACTTTCTCAATGGTCATCTACAAGGGTGTCCCCACATGTCCTCTAAAGCTCTAGGTGTTTTGATGCAGCCAGCTTCATAGTGACCACCAAGGCTTTGAAGACCTTTTACGACAATGGTCCTGGGTAGAGAATAATATGTCCTTTGCAGATGTGCTGTACCTTTGTGCGTGTTTGGAGATTGGGCAGGCGTGTACCTTCTCACAGCAAAGCCCCAAAGAGCCCAAAGAGACTGCAGATGGCACTCTTCAGCAGCGCTGTTGCTAAGGCTGACGATGATTTTTAAGTCAGGAGATGTGCGACGTGGACGGGTTTGGAGCAAGCATCCCAGGATCATTGGTCGGTGATGTTTTCCATGAAAACGTGTGTGTGATTCAAATGTTGTTTGTGCGTGTGTGTCTCCTTGTGTATATATTTGTTGATGTCCACATTTGATCCCTATGTTTTTTTTGACAGATTTGCGGTCTTAATGGTGCAAGCAGCCTGGGGATGCAAAAAGTTTGCTGTTTGGGCATCCCAATACGATACATATTTGGTATGGCAGAAACGAGGTTGTCCAACACAAATGATTCCTTATTTCACTGTTGGGCATTTGTATGTGATGAACAGTGAAAGCTGCAAGAAGGCCGCCGTCCCAAAAAAACTGGTCACCAACGCATCTGTACCTGGAGCTTTGCTTGGCGTTTCTTGGAGCTTTGCAGTGAGGGGACCACTTGAAAATATTGATGTAGTCCGTGTTTGTTTCGAGAGGGCCACAACTCCAAAAAACTGACACAAGACACAAGACAAGTAGTACAGCTCTGGCACATCTGACGTATATTGCGGCCCATGGCTATAGCATCCAATGGTGCAGTTTCTCCCAGACTGTCCAACCCTCTCAACTTCTCTCTCCTCCCTTGGCAGGATAGATGCGCGTGCAACATGCGCAAGGGGGAAGGCCCAGCTCGCCGTTGCTTATGCGTGGTGATTGCGAGAGCCGGAGACAGCTCGCCCAAAATAAAAGATTCGATGGTGACATGCAGGCAATCCTAGTATTGACATGTATTGACGAAAAGGCTATAACTACTGCTTCCTGCACAACTAAACAGAAACATACATTCAATATCGGAGTGTTCAGCATGTACCTGACGATCTACAGTGCTTTGGGAGCCGTTCCTAGCAATGTGGACCTCTCTTGTGTCATCCTAGCAATGTCAACGTGGACCTTTCTTAAGGGTCCTATCCACCACGTCCACTGTCATATGTTTCGCATCCAACACATGCTGTTCAACAGAAGGTGTATTTTGGGGTATGGCAACAGAAAACAGACTCAATAGACTCTGGAAGATTTGGGTCCAAGTCGCACCAACCACAAAAGAACAAATCACGCAACATCAACATTTTGAATGTGCGCACCGTTGCTCCGGCACTCAAGAATCTAGAGGTGTACTTGGTGATCGCCGTGATAGGCCACTTCTTACCTGTGGTGTTTGGAGAGTGACAGCCTTTGGTGTTTTTCATGAGCACTGAATCATCTCCGCTTTAGTTTTACGGGGTCAGTCATTTGTTTGCGTTTACCACAAACCACTTGGTAACGGCACAAGACCTCGGAAGATTGATAAAAATTGAAGTTGTATACGTGTTTCAAATCCTCCCGATGATGAGTTGTGTGAACATCCTCTAGTAAATACATCTCTTTTATAGTGTTATTACTACCGAATACATACTCAGTGAATCTCAGTGAACTACTTCGTGACCCCGAAGAAGAACCCCTGCTAGTAGGTTGGAGGCCGTTGGAGGCCATCGCTAGTGCCACCAGGTCTCTGGAGAGCTCGGGGGTCCGGACGCTGCGCCCTGGCACCATGTCCAGAGGAAGCGGATTGCACACTCTAAATAAATGCTCAACATGCTCCCGACAGATATTAAATTCTGATACCTAAAACTCTTTGGATCAGCTTAACAATAGCACGAAAATGCCAAGTCCCCCCTTGGTGTGACAGGCATGGTTTAGTGGGTGCTGGGACTGATTTGTTCTTCCAGGTTGGCCTTAGGCTTTTTGTTGTAAAATTATATAGCAAGTCAGCAAAGAAAGCCCACACGCAATGAAAGCCCAAGAGATTGGACTCACAAGGGTTCGTACTTTGCCCAATTGAGTGAAGAAAATACTAAGGGTCTCCCAAAAGGGCGATCCCCATGGTGGTGGAAACCAAACGAACACCCTGAGGTGTAGTTGTGCAATACATTTCTCAAACCGGATCGACCAAGGTGCAGCTATGCGCAGCTCAAGGAGAAGAGACTCCAGAGGGCTGAGAGCCGCCAAGCGGATCAGCACAAATCAATTGTTCGAAGCAAGCAAGGTAGGGATTTATCGTGGTAACCTTATGTACTGTAAAGTCATCGTTGTTACTGGTTGTTCTTGATTCTTTGATACGTGTTGTTAGCGTAATTCATGCTGATGTGTACCATCAATCACAATGATAGCAACTCAAGCCTTCGTGTGCTGGCTTTTCAGTGGGGTTTGGTGTTCGCAGAACTAAGTATGGTTAGTCCAACAAGCATCCAGCTGAACACGTTGGGGTTCAGAGGCCAGCTGTGCCTCTAGAGCTGATTTGTGCGGTGGGGCGCACCTTGAAAAGTGGCGGCAATCTGGGAGAAGACTCTGTGTCATATTTCTTGGTCAGAAAGGAAGTGACCCTCCCCTACTCTATGTCGTATTCTCTATTCTTTTCAGGCCATCCATATCCATCCATCATGTCGCGCAAGAAGTGTAGCGACCATCAATCGTGTTTCACCCGCAGGGTCCGCAGGGTCGCTGGCTTTTCAACGCCGACCTCGCCAGTCCGCGTCGCACCAGGCCGACCGCGCCGACGAAGAGGTGGAGACGGAGCCGGAAAGCGAAGATCGCGCCCACCAGGACCGAAGGGGACCGAACGGTGCGGGGAGGTTCGGTTGGAAATCGAAGTTCTGAGGGCGATCCTGTAGCCTTATCGGACGATCAATGTGCAAGCTGTAGGTCAATGTGCAATTGCCAATCAGTTTTTAGGGTTGAACAGGAGCCATTAAAAATGCAAGGTATTCGAGTCTTGCTTTTGTCACCACACATGGCAGCCACTGTCGAAGAAAATATTACACTTGACCTGGGGAAATATGCATGATTTACCGTTTACTTGAACCACCTAGCCCTTTCAAAACCCAAGGGACCTAGCCATGCTATCGGATGCACTCTGATGGATGCACTCCGAGCGTATGTGGGCCGTTTTGGAACACACGGAAGCAAGCACCCCAGCTGGACACCCAGCTGATATGTCAGCAAGGATCCATGATGATCCATGGCATTTATTCACCTGATCATTCATTGGTGAACAAGGATACTCTTAGTGGCTGGGGCACTTGGGCGGCATTTGGGGTGGCTGGGGGACACTTTACCATGCAGCCCCTAGCACAGTCATCTTTAGAAGAGGCAACACAAGAAGAAGTCTTCCTTTCGATTGTTTTTTCAATCAGTCTTTTATTGAATGCATTGGAATACCATGTTCTCATATGTTCTCTGTTTACAACTGAGTTCACGTAAAAGGCTACAGCTGTGGGAGCGGTCCTGTGTGGGTTGTGAGCAAATTCCACCTCTCAGGATGTGGTGCCACGGGCACTTCCAGGCTGCGAGGATTTGTGGCTGCGACGACTGGACCTGTGAGTACCACGTGTACCAATGATTGGGCGCAGAAGCTGCTCTAAGAACTTCCAGTTCTTTCAAGAACATATATTATATATATATACACGTTACACATCGTTACACTCAAAATTTGCCGGCCGATTGAAAACTCAGCGTTTTTTCCTCCCCCAGCCTTCTCCACGCCTTCTCCAGATGGGCGGATGGCTTGTGAGTTCTGTGGACGGAAGTTCATCCCGTCCAGCTACCAGCGGCATCAGCCCATCTGTCAGAAGGTGCGGGACTCCAGCGACCGGTGCCGATGATGTGGACAGCGTCAAGAATTCGGGTGAAGGGTAGGACGCGCAATCCCAACATTGTGAAGGTATTAAATTGGAAACACCTGATCAAAAACGATAAACAATTACTAGTGAAATGGTGTTGGTCGTCATCGAGAAATGTTTGGCAAAGTGATACTCTCGCTGGTTGGAATGGGTTGCAAAGTTGGGCCTGAATGATCAAGTGTGACTTGATAGGGCCTCCATGCTACGCTCACACATACACGTGTGAACTTGTTGATCCAGACACATTATGCAAAAAGCAAGAAAACATAAAAGACACGGGTCAGTGGGCAGTCTGATGAGGCGAGACGAAAACTCTCCCAGGTCAGACGGGTGTTCATGAGGAGCCGGCTCCTTCGCTGCCTTAGACGAGGTCTTTGGAGGAAGCCGGCCACAGTTCCTTCCTTCCTATGGCGTCTCCAAGGCGCACCACAGGACGAAAGAGTGTGTGCAACGTCCAAAGGTCCAAGCACATCGCGAGGACGTGGGCCAGATACATCATACCTGGGATTCCATGGTTTTTGTCATGGTCTTCCAAACATTTCCAGTTTTCTTCCCCAGATAGTGGGATTTGCTTTCTTGGGTATTTTGGGTCATGTTTGATGGCGTGTCCATTTGTAGTTACATAAGGTGTCCATTTGTAGTTACATAAGATGGATGTTTTTTGGGGCGTGTCACGTCTCTCATCCTCTGTATTTTTGACTTCCATGCTCCTTCCATGCTCCACCCTCTGCAGTGTCTCTCGGAATCTGAAGGGACTGGTTTCCACAGAAAGAAGCGGACGGACCAGTCACGCAGATCGGACCGGACAGACTCCGCGTAGATCGGCAGCGGCCGGACCGGAGCACCGGGAAGTAACGGGACGAGCACATGACGGAGCACCGACTATGGAGCACCGACTGGAGCACGCAGAGCACCGCAACTTGCGCATGCTGCAAACACAGAAGTTGGAAGTGACCGAAATGCGGTGCGGCCGTCAAGATATGTGTATCATTCCCATGAGGTTTCTGCGGACCAATGGTTCCCCTAGACTGGTTCCGTAGGGATAGCAGACAGACTCCATGCGCAAAGGTTGCATATCAACGGGTTTGTCTCGGTGCGAAGCATACCTCCAAAGCATGCCTCATAGTCAAACATCCCAGCCCCCCGAACGTCAAAAGAATACAATAAACATCGATAAACCATATATATATATATAATCATCACCTGGGACTTTAAAACGGAGGCTAAATCGGAGAGGGGACACGTGTGTTAAAATGAACACCCAGGCCAGTGCTTTCTGGGATACTGCACTAGAAAAACAAACACACACACAATACAATGGTGCAACCATGTGCAACCAATATGGTTTGCCAATCGACATCATTTTTGTCATTTGTAATTCTTCCTTTGCAAGTCAAACGATCCTTGGGCCATAGGAGCAAGAAGCTACTAGGAACAAAGCGCATCGCTACGAACGGAGCGATCGGACGCTACGAACGGGGCGCTGGCCTTCCTACTAGGAACAAGAAGCTACTAGCAGGACCCTATCCAGCCACGCCCAAAAGTAGTCTGACGGGCTCCCCCCCCAGGCGTCACCGAACGGTCCATTTCGCCAGGTGGAGCGCGCCTCGCCAGGCCGGGTACCGCGCAAACCGCCGCAATGCCTTTTTGATCCCTTTTGCATCAGAGATATTCAATGCTATTCATACCGTGTTTGATAGCCAACAAATATGCCAAGAAATCAAGAATGCCAGCTTGTCCGCTGCCTTTGAATTGTGCGAACTTGCTTTTGTGCTCACAGTTGAGCCACCTTGCAGCTGTTTTTGGTGTGGGATTCTTGTCCCACAAGTTCAGAAAGACTACCACCGACAACAACCAATGTGAAATCAAATAGTAGACCGCATGTCCCGTGACCTCAGAGCGATTGGTTGCACATTTCAACGAGTGTGACACAATCTGCTCGTGCCGGGACCGTGCCGTGCCCTCCTACCTAACTGACTGAAAGTTGCTCCTCAACTGACCAAACGGTGAGGAAGAACGAGTCCACGATGCAAAGCAGCCTCCAAAGCAAAGCTGGGAGCCTCAGACAGACACGCATAATCCCTTGCGGCGGAAGGGGAGCCAGCTCTGGTTTTTGGAGTTTTCTTGAGTCGACGGCCTCTATCCTAGCAACCAGGCGGATGCAAAGTGACTGCCTCCAGACTGAGTGGGACGCACTCTCCTTGTGGTGATCCTCGGAAACTCGCAGAGTCATGCTGGTCATGCTCCGATTGTATTTGTCATGATGTCATGTTCACAGTGGTAAAATACCTTGGGAACCAAGCCCATCAACTGAAGGAAGTCACATGTATTCACATATGACATCATATGACTATCTGGGTGTTTTGTATGTTTCAAGTGCGTGGAGGCTTAGAACATGCAAAAAGAATAGTGTAGGTGTAAGCACCTCCACCAGTTTGTGGAGGAATTCACCTACACGCGGTGTAAAGAGCGCAAGGTCCTGTCAAAGAAAGACTCTTCCACTACTCTATCTCCAGAAACACCCAACTTGTGGAGTGCCATGTTGGATTCTATGATAAAATGCTCCTTCACACTGGAAGTTGCCTTTCTCTACGTCAATCGGGCATGCTCTGACCTTCACCTAGTGTCCCCTGGTAGAAGGAAGGTCCGATAGTGTCCGCCTGAAATCGGTAGATGCTTGGGTGCTTTGCCCGATTCCATGGCGTAGGAAGGCACATACACACCTCCTGTGAAGGTCTGGGCCTGCCAGTCCCCGACCTGGCCTGGAGCTCAGATCTCGCAGCTCCGGTCTTCGGTCTTCGTTGGCAGCAAATTCAGATCCCCGCACCACTTCACTTGAAGCACCATCACTTCAAAGAGAAAGACCATAAATTCGACTGACCCTGGTGGCTCGTGTCAGCTGCTTGTCCCACCAGCCTCGAGGTCTAGCTGCTGCTGTAGTGCCAGCCTTAGCGGCAGCCGTCATCGCGCCTTCGCGCCATCCCATGAGCCATGTCGCTCCAGGTCTCCTGTCGCACCGGGCTGAAAACAAAAAGACACTAGTCGACGGAAGAGTGATGTCGTTGGGATTCGATTCGGTTCTTAATTCTTAGTGAGACCGTATGGTCACATTCATGTCACATTGGGATCTCATGGGTGGGTCATAAAAGCATGTTTCTAGTATATACGATTCCATTGTTTCAATGGGATCACAATCGCTGCCACTAGATCCCCTCTCTTTGGATTGAGGGGTTTCGTACCTTTTCTATTTTCATGGGTTGCCACAGCGACCCAACTGTAGCTTGGACGATAACGATGATGTTGACATACTTGTTGAGCACTTTAGAGCAAGATTCCCCATAGAGCTAGATATCTTATATATCCGTTGTACGATACTGATTGCTGAAGCCAGAATTGGACATTCTGACTTTAAGTATCGAAGTTTTTTGTGGGTATAGCTGTGTTTGCTTATCTACCAATCTTGTGGTTTTCGGCTTGGTTTTTACACAAACCAAAACAGAAGCAGAAGCAAGTCTGAAGTCTCTCTTCGCCAAAAAAGGAGTCAAAAGGGACAGACATGATCAACCACCGAGGTGTTTCCACTCTTAACCCCTCCAGAACGAACGTGTCATCACCGAAGATGAGCTTCCTCTACACAACGGGTGAACTCAGGTTCCAAAAAGGAGACTTGGAAGGTGTCACACCATTTTGGGCCCTCAACACTGAACATCCAATCACGGTCCAATTGTTTACCTTTGCCGCTCAGCACCAGCCAGCGCCACCAGCGCAACAAAGGACCCTGAATCAACTGGCTGGGCGGCTGGGCGTCATGGACACACTTACCATGCAGTATTTGTCCATGCGATGGCCTTTAACCTACTACATAGTGATGGCCTCCGACCTAATAGCAATGGCCCCCCCAACCTAATAGCTATCGCCTTCAACCTACTAGCGATTCCCTCCAACCATGCAGTATTTGTCAACCCATGGCCCATGACATGGAAATTGCCCCGAGGAAATCACTGAGCTACTCCGCAGTTCAAAATACAAGCGATTAACTTTTTGCGCTACCAGATTCGACATCACGAGCCACCTAGCAGATTTGGAACTCCCACGACAGACACATCAGATGTCTTAATGTGAGAGGATCAATTTCTCCGAACCTGTATACATACAGCCATGCAGGTGACATACAGATAGAACTGACTTTGCTATATACTCCACAAAGAAAGAACTAGCTGTCAGCACTTTTCACTGGATTGTACAGCGTTTTTGATGCTCTTTCCTGGATATTGGTTTGCGAAGCTTTTTGGGGAACAGTCTGTGAGAAATTTATATTTATAAGTGTCCAACCAGGTCCAACCAGAAGCCCAAAAGAAGCAAACAATTGTCTTAAAATAACACAACAAAGGTTTTGGAGGAAAATATCGACTCCCTACTAAGGTCCCTACCGAAGCCCCCCAACTGCTTGGATTTGTGGGGAATTGTTCCCTCCATCTTCACCATTCTGCAACACAACTGCACCAATCAATTGTCAAGCTGCATCAAGATCATTGAAGCTGTTGTCACATGAGTTGTTGTTTTATGTGTGTGAGTGAACCTAAGCATCGGGAGGCCAATTCCAGGCCAAAACAATGCCTGAAAACAATGAGCTTGAACATGCTTGAACTCAACAACGGTCCTGATCAAGTTTGCTTCCAAAAGTATATCAGCATGATTTCTTGAAGATCCAAATGGGTGTGTATTAAAATAGGGAGACCTCCCACAGACCGAAGAAGGACATAGACTGACCAAAACCCATTTGGTTGGAGACCACCCTATCAAAATTACACACCCAAATCACTGGATGCGTGTTGTATTCATTTGTACTTGTTGTATGTTTGGGTGCATCCAGGCTGGAAATGCATGGGTTTAAGCAGATGGAGCAGTGTGGCATGTGCCTCTTATTCATCCAGCGTCTCAAAAACTACACGGAAAAGACACGACGGCTGGTTGGTGTATGGAGACGCATGGCCTCCAAAGCAGTTCGGCCAGAAAAACAGATCAGAAATAGCTGGCATTCATTTGTCTCCAAATGACATAATGAGATTTAATAAACCAATGATTTGTCCGCTATTGCTTTTATCGCTGGGACAGAGGAGGGGTTCCCAATCACATCATCTCAAGTCATCTGAGCAGCCAGGAGTGATCGGAGCAGCCAGGCGTGTGGCACTTGGAAGATCGCCTTCGGTGCAAAGCAACAGGACAAGGAATGGCGGTTCGATACTGCACCACATGACAGGCCGATACCTGCAGACATGATGTGTATCAATGGCTTCCACACTGGTGGCTTCCGCCTCTCCTGGTGAACTCACTTCAGACTACGCAGCTGAAAAACAATATCCCTTATATAATGGTTGTGGATCGTACAAGTTGTGCCCGAAGAGTACCCCAGTGGAGTGCCTGTTCTTTCCTTAAAAAGACAAACATGTACGACGAACCGCAGCTGGTGGTGCATGGACACCAGCCATGGAAACCGCCTACCGCTGCTGTTTGCAAGGCCCAGGGTGGCCCAAGGCGTTTTCTTGCAACAACTGGCAGCTGACATGGCCCACTGGCGAAGTAGGATTCAATTGCTGTCAATTTTTCATGATGAAGACATCGTGGTCATAGTTGCCATGCAGTTCGTGTGCCTCTCTCAAACAGTTCATGCAAGCTGAGCAGAACCCCTCTCTATCGGCTTTCGTTTTGCGGTTCCAATGTTCCACGGCCATGATTGTCAAACAGTTTGCTTTGGAAGATTCACCAATTCCAGAATCTAGCTACTACAGGAAGCAACCGTGGGTATATCCGCAGGGTGCACACAAAGCACCATCAAGTTTCTAGATCCCAGACGGTACCTGGACCCGGCTGTCACAGGGTCGACCCTCTGTGGGTTCGACTCCTCCCGTTCGTGAGGTCGACGGCTGGTGCAGCAGGCGTAGGCGCAGGCACCGAGCAGCCGAACTTGCAGGAGCAACCGAACGGGCCATGGCGATGCGGACGATGGCAGAGAAGGATTTGGACTTGGGTCGAAGGTACCAAGGATTGGAAAGGACATGAAAGGAGGCCATCGCTAGTAGGTCGGAGGCCATCACTTGTAGTTTGGAGGCCATTGTTAATGTCATTGTAGCAGGAGCGAACCAGGAGGTTGGACAGTGGCTCATGTAGACAGGGTGTTCCAAGGAGCTTCATCACCTTTATCATCCTTTATCCACTCATGGATGGACGACAAACGACCTCGCTGGTTTGGTGAACGACCTCGCCATCAGCGCTTCCGGGGCCTCGATGAAATCATCCGATTCCATCCGCAGGACAAAGAGCAGCGAGTGATGCAAGTGATGAACGAGCAGATGGAGGCAGAAGATCTGGGCCAGAATGGCAAGCATGCAGATGCTTCCGATGGAACTTGCAGGTGGTCTACATTTCAAAACCCCAAAGCCACCAAGACCATCCGAAACCCGGGTAGTTGAACATCCCCTCGCATTTGGTTCAATTGGAGCCGTTTTGCCACTTGCACTGTGGACTTACTTGATCTTACTTGAAGAGTATCTTGATATATCTCGATTCTTTTCAGGGCCGGGCACCTTTTGCTTTTGATGTGACTGCCTTGCTTCATTGGTGCACCCAAGTGTTTGTTTACCTCCTCACCGACCAATTCTAGAACCTCGGTCCTTCCTGGCCCGGCCCTCCACCCCCTCGACCCTCCGCTCCTCCCGGCGGAACCCCTCGACCTCTCAGGAGCTCCGGAGCTTGAGGAAACAGGTCGGAGAGGACCACCCGCCGCGTGGGCCGCGGGACCGGTCGTGCAATGTCGTGAAACCTGGTTTCCGGGCGGTGCATCTGCTTTTTTTCGGGCGGTGCATCTTCGGTTCTTCTCCGTTTTTGGGGTGGCGGTTAATGTTTCGGTAGATTCATGCCGTTTGAGGATTTGGGGGAATCTCACTATTCAAGAATATTCAAGAGAAGTTTGGGAACTGGAGGATTTGAGACTGAGAGTTTCTCTTAATTAGGCAAAACTAAACCAGAGTTGGAAGTTGAGTTTGCTAAGATCATTGAAATTCTAGTCGTGATGTTTAGGATGTTCAGTGACCACCACCCACACTAGACTTTTTCAATGTCCTGATGGACATGTAGAGCAGAATCTGAGAGCTGGCACTGGCTCATGTATTTCCATAGTTGCAAAGCCCAGTCATACCCAGTCGCTTTCTCATCTAACGAGTGCTTCTCTTTCCGTGGCTAACTCGAGAGTGTTCAGCCCTGATGGTCCCCTTCAGTCCTGTCTTCCTGGCGCCTTCGCTTCAGGAGCCTCAGCCTTCGCTTCAGGCACTCAGGAGGAGCCGACGACTCGTCTCTCCATACGGAGTTGCAAGAATTGTTCACCCCAGACTGTTTCGATCAAGAGCGAGCAAAAAGCGATGAAACACACCTTTGAGGCTTGAAGGTACTGGTTTCACAGCAACTGCTTTCTGACACCCCAAACACACACATATATATACTTTCACCAAAGGAATTCACCACCAGAAACCGGTTCTTCGGAACCGTGCGTCCTTCGTTCCTTGCAACTCCTCGCGGCCAGGAAGGATGTCCCTCCTCGCGGTGGCCGCGAGGTCGGAGATCACACAGGGAGACCGAGCGGAGCGGAGCGAGGAGGAAGGGGTTGAGAGATTGGACAGTCCATTTTTAATATCTATAGTTATATATAATTACATGTTACATGACATGATCTGTTACATCATGTTACATTTGTATCAAAAGCACGTGTCTTCTACATGTATCATCATCTATCTATGTATTCTGTTGTTTTTGTTCCTCATTTTGCTCCAACAAGACTGAGTAGTAGGAACCCTTCAGTCTCCTTTTGGGTTTCTACAACTCGTTTGTGTGGGCGTGGAGCCTTGGTATATAGGTTTCTTAATAGAGTTATAGTGTGCAATAGCGTTTCCTTAGATACCTATCATTAGTTGCCTTAGTCTTTACTGGGACCATGACCCCTTGTGGTGCTGGAGGTGAGTGAAGCTGACCCAGCAGAGCCAGGCGAACTCCTCAGTTTGGGTCGGGTGTGCAAACCTGCCCTATACATATTGTATATGTTTGTCTCGTTCCGCGAACAATCAGCACAAGATCAAGTTTGTTGTGAAGGCCCTAAAACCCAACCATCATCCGTGACAAAGTCTAGCGGTGATGAGGCCAATCCAACACTATGCACATCAAACATGAAGAGACTAGAGACTAGACTACCATGTTTGTCTATATACTGTGTAGGCTTGCAAAGTCTTTTGACTTGCGATCCAGATCAGATTTATTGAGCTGCCGCGCTAACTTACAACGCCACGCTCGTTCGGTGCTCCGACATGATGTCCGACTTTTGTGATGGTCCTGGCGGCAACAGTCAAGCTGTCATGGTTGTTTTCTGTGAATTTGGACACGTCACACAACTCATGCCTCATGATTTAGCGATGTGTTTGTTGGATTCTGTTGTGGTTTTTCACGCAGCGCAAACCTCACTGTGTTCTTCAAGCACTTGTTTACCTCAGATTGGTCTAAAATCCTCCTTTCACAGTCAATCCGGGCACTTTTGAGCAAGTTGAAGCAAGTCGAAGCAAGCTCCGAGTGTTGAGCTAATGTTCGCCCTTTCAAAACGTCCTTTCAGAACTTGTTGTAAAGTGACTGTCTTCGACCGCAACTGATGAGCCGACCACTTAGGTCCAAGACCGCAGGCGCAACGAAAAGATGGGCGGGGCACGCGCACACCTGCGCACGCCTCAACCATGTGCTGGGTGTTTGCTTTGAATTCTGAGGGTTGAGTCGGATGTTGACTTGACTTGGTTGGTTCGGAAATCACTGGAAGAACATGATCGAAGTCGGACCACCCGGAACTCGATCTCAAAAAATGCAACGCGACCTACGCAATGCGTCACGAACGGACGCGAGCGATTGCAATGGGGTGGTGATCACGTGTGCAGCAAGTTGACGGACGAATGCGATGTCAACATCGAGACTGTACGAATTCAAGACTGTGATTGAACGATTCAGACCCAAACAGTTTGCTATCCTGCCAACCAAACCAATTGGTAGGAACAATGTACATGTTCAGCACTGAATCCCCAGAGCAACCATCCGAAACGAGCACCACGCCAAGATGGCGCACGTTTTCTATGTTCAAGAGAGCCCACAATAAGATTATAAATACGTATAGATGCGTATAGGTGTTTAAGTGAGGACATTGCTATACAAGATACCAAGAAACTCTAAAATAACTCTAAACAGTATATTAGAAATTAATTAAGACATTTTAAACATACAACGAAAACGCGAAGTGGTTCACCAATATGGGCCACACCAGACAGTTCATGATTCTGGCCCAACAACCCATATGGCCCATACGGCGTGGTTCTTTTTTCACCACGGTGTGGTGACCCTCCAGAACCCTAAGAATTGACTCATGTTATCTTCTTGTTTCCAGATCATGTTCCTCTCCAGCCCATGTAGCCATGGGTTCATACATTTGCATGCAGGAGGGTATTTATATATATATATTTATTTATTTATTTTTTTCATGTAGCCCCTGGAACTACTACTTTAAAATTGTCTTTAGATGACCGGAAGAGGAATTGCCTTTGCTTCGATGGTTTCCCTCAAAAGTCTTTGGACTTCTAGGTAGATTCTAGGGTAGTGATACCACTGGCGAACCAAGACAACCTGACGTGCAGGTGACCTGCACGGTTCTCGAAACAAGCCGATGGAGGTAGCAGTGTTCACCCCCCGTCCTCACTGGAGAGGAGCGTGCTTTTCGGAGAGTTCACCGGGAGGTGCAGCGTGTCGACCGGGTCGACGTGAGTGGAGCGGACTGGGAGGTTTGAACCGCCATAGGTGAAGCGATTCGGCCTCATTCAGAGCCTATTATAATAAGGATTGTTCATGGTTCCGATACGTTCCGATATGGTTCTTCAAGACACCCATGTTACAAGATGTGGGCCCCAAACTATGGACGACATGGGGTGTGGAAACACTACGGCTCATTATCTACCAGCGTCAACTTTCCCCAATGGAAAAACGAGATCATCTCCTCTATGCGCGCCACAGATCATCCTCGTGAGACTCGTGACCTGCACGCGGCGACTGGAGCGAAGTGGACCAGTGACCGGTCCTTGTGGTGGACTTCGGGGGAAAACTGTGCGAGAGACTGGCATTTTGAGAGCGCGTGTCGTTCAATCAATCCATTCCCTATCGATCCTATCAGCACGATCCCTTGATGGGGTCTTGAATGGGATACCCTAGATCTTCATGAATGGACATCCCTTTGAAGGTCCAGGTACATTTTCCTAGATGGGGAAGCCACTTGGAGCGGGAGCATCGACGACTTCACGACAGGATCGGCCTCTTCCAGAGCCCAAGAAGCTCGAGGAGTGGCGCTTTTGCGGAGAGTGGATTGAGAGGATTCCGTGAACCAGTGGAAAGTCAAAGATTCGTCGCTGACAGGTCATATTTCTTGTATGGAATTAACAATTATAGTCGTACTGCAGTTGTATACATTGTACCCTGGACCACGTACGCGGAGAATTCAGGGATATGACTTGGAATGTGGTGTAGAGCATCTTGAGTCATGTGGCCGCCATACAGGCTCCTACGTGCATTCTGAGAAGAATGTGCAGCATCCACAAGCACGCAGCATGTCATTGCTGAAAATGATGACAAAAGTCTGGAAACGCTGTCAACCTCCGTTGAGGGAAGGCATCCTGGTGTTGACCCTATTTGATGAAACTGCTCCGCGAAGAACCTCAGGGCCAAATGAATCAATCATGTCGAAGATCCGAATCAAAACCAAAGGTGACCAGTGTGTAACTCTCCTGAAGCACAAGAATCTGTGAATATCCGAGTCGCAGAGTCGCACAAGAAGGGAAAGACGAGTACAGTTCCTGTAGAGTCTGTGCTCCAAAAGAACCACCCACCCTGTCGAGACTCACAAGAAGCTTCCAAGCAATGGTCCAAATTCCAAAGGCAACAAGACTACTACTTCCAGCACAAAAGTCCCAAGTCCACGGCTTTCAGTGATGATGACCAATCCATACTATTTCCATCTATGTCCTCACCTCCAGGGTCCAAACCCGGGTTGAGCTCTTTGCCAGGACCCTGGCCCCAGCTGCCCCAGCTCTCCCTCGTTGGTTTCAGCTGCTGAGACGCAGCTGGTGCCCTGCGAGGCCCGGTGGTCCAGGTCCCCGGCTCGACGACTGGGTGGGCAAAGGACAGTTGAGTTTTTGGAAGAAAACGAGTGGCCATCCCATGAAAACACCAAGAGTTTACAGGCGTTGCCATACACTTCCGAAAATGACTCCTCAAGGATGTTGCCGCCAAGAGACTTGAATCGGCAATAACAACCCCCCGAACGAACTCAAACCAAAATACAGAGAAGCATTTGTTCGAAAAATTCGGTTTACCCAGAGAGACTTCAGCATCCGCAGCCTCAGGACTGCGGCCGCCGCTTCAACCCCGCGAGCCTGGAGAAACACCGGCCCATTTGTCGGAAGGTCTTCGGGACGCGGCAGTCAGCGGAAAAGGCAGCGGCTGAGAAGCCTGTGCCAAAGGCAGTGGCGACGGTGAGAGCGAAGGAGAGATGATGGTCGGGGAGGCGCTGGTTTTGAAGGCTTGGGCTGTCCGCTAGTTGAGTGGGGAAAACTCCGAGTGGGGATGACCTGTCCGGGTGGATGTCCAACTGCTAGAGCTAGAACAGGTTGACAGTGTCGACCTCTAAGCTTTGTTTTGATGTTTTGTAAAGCCAGGATACTCAGGCCAAACATCCAGTAAAGTGGTACTATGTGGGATGTTACTTGTTGATACTAGTGGACTTATAAGAAAATGTAGGTTGCAACAGTATTGTTATGATGTATATATGTATACTGTTGGTCTTTCGAATCAGGTGAGTTTCAGTCGTGCGGTGCCCTTGGCTGTGATTGGAGATAGGATGCCTTAGGTCACCCTGGAAGTGTGCAACAAGTTGGATCATCTACAGTGAGAGATGGGATACTCTCTGAACCCTTTGGTCCCCCTTTGTGAGAGAATCGGAGGATCTCGGAGCTTCGCCTCCACAGGGGCCCAAGAGAAATGGGAGTTGGGAAAGATGGCACCACTGCCGGTGACCGCTTTTGGGAGTTGAGGGCCTTTCTTCTTGAATTGGCTGGTTGAGACAAATCAGCAGGTGAAGCGGAGTCCAAAGCTTTTGCGGGATGTTGTCCCAAGCAGCCTCGGTCAGAGCTTGACTGGCTTCAGCGTATCGGCTTCAGGAGGTGGAGAAGAGCGAGGTGGGCACCATGGATCGGTCCTTTGGGGGGAAGCCGCTGGCTGTTTGGCTGTCAGCTGAGGGACTCACCGGGGTGGGTTGAGTGCTCACAACGATCTAAGTTAAAGAGACGGCTGGTTCCAAAGGATCCGATTCGGATGCTCAATTGGATCCAGAACACGCTCATGAAGGAGTTTCTCAGAGCAATTGGTCAGGGACATGGCTGATCTTGTCCCACGCAGAAGCCTCTTTACACGAGCCGTAAAAAAAAGGAAAACCACCAACCAACCACAGTGAACAAATATTGTCAGGAATGGCCATTGAAGTGAATTCCACGGGATTGGGGGGAGGCCCTTCACACATGCTAAACCCCTTCAGGCTCCAAAGCCCATGCGCCGGGAGGTGCGCCGGAGGGAAACCGTTGACTGAGTGGGCTTTCAAGCGGGAATCCAATCCTCTATAGCTTCACCCCGGAAGACATGGAGTTTCCTGGGTTTTCAGGTGGTTCTTAGATATTTCAGGTAGTTTTTCAGCTGGTTTTCAGGTGGTGCAGGATTTGTTGATCCATTCACAACCAGAAGTTATGCCACCAACAAGTAGCCGGCCACCAACATGCACCAAGCCTCAGTCTAGATTTCTGCAGAATGAACTTGAGTGACTTGACGGACAATGTGGTCTCCAACCCTTTAGAATCCTGTGGAGGGTTGTGATAAGAGGGTTTTGTTTGGTGTCCAGTGTCCAGAAGTCCTCAACTGAGGCCTTCTTGGCAGAAAATGCTGAGCAACCTTTTGATGAATAAAAAGACTTCATTTGGCCCAAAAATCTCGGATGTGTTCCCAAGTGTGTGTTTTCCTAGTATATAGGTTGGGTGGTGAACCTTGAATCTTCTTGGGGACTCGTTTCACCACTTTCATGTAGTGATTTTCCCGATGAGACCGGAACACCCCGATGGACGTGAAGCTTCGATGGGCGCGGGGGCGCGGGGCCAGGTTCCTCCCACATCTTCCACTCCGAACTCAGGGCGGCTCGGCGGGATCGGTGGGGCACCGGCATCGCGGCAGCTCGAATGGAGCCCAGCTCGGCCATTCTGGGAGCTTTTTGGGGTGATGCAGATGGATGGATTCGGACGTGTGGAGAAGAACAAGCGATCTTGTTGTGGAATCAATCCTAATTCAGTTAAGATGTTTGTTCAATGCCTCATCTTCCACCTCAGTTAGGATGTTTGTTAATGTTTGTTAGTTTTCACTTATGGCGGCCATTCTTAGATCATATGATTTGGCAGGTGATGAAGGACATCTTGGTGAAATGCCGACATGACTGATCTTTTTGTCCACCACGCCAAGGCAGTTGCTTATTGACCAGGGAAACAAGCAGCTTTGGATCTACCAAACATATCCTTCAAGAACAGGAATAAATTGGTCAAAGATGTGGGATTTCTCACACAACACCGTCTTTCGTTGGGTTTGCAGGGTTCGCCCATGGATCGCGAGTTGCGGATCACCTCCACTCATCTCTTGCTTGGGTGAGCTGGCTTTTTCAACTCGGTGGCTATTCTGTGGCTGTGAGTCAAAATCTCCCTCACCAAAACCATGGTTTCGGTTGACATCCCGAACATAGAAGAATTGGTTTAGCCATGACCCAGGGTCCTACGGGGTGTGGAAGTGCGACGGTCACCGTGACCCACTGGCCATGTTGGACCCGCACGGATCTGGGAGGATCCCCTGTTCGCCGAAGGGACCGCCTTCTAAAAAAAAAGGCTCCACTCCACATGGCTCAAAACCCTTTCCGATCCAGGTTTCAAGCGGGTCACACCAATTCGTGGTTGAAGGAACCACAAGGTGCGTCATGCTCCACTTCTGAAGTTCTTTCAACTTGAAGTTCTTCTAGATTGCCCAACCACTCTGGCCTGGCAAATTCTGCAAAGAGAAAACGACACGAGCGACATTTCGGCACCTTTTTTTTGCGCCAAGGTCAAGCGTCCTCAGCTTCCTCATGTTTTTGGGGTGTCCAAAAACTGCTCCACTTATGCGTCCTCTACCCGACCACGGCTACTTCCAGTCTTTTGGTCTACTCAAACCCACACCTTGTTTCTCGCTACTCCGGTCCTCATCCAGAAACTGGACACCACTCTGCCCCGCCGGTCTCTGAACGAACAAAGTCAAGTGCCGAATCTGGCCCGGGTTCAGATAAGATACTCTCGGGATCTCTAGGGGTTGCAGAAACGAACAAACCAACACCGACCCCGGGTCGGCCCTGAACTAGTTCGGAGGACAACGACTTGGGCCGAGACGAAGTCGTTGGGCGCCACCGACCCGGGCGTCGTTCCGCGTGTCCAGGTCCGGTGGAACTCCCGCGAGGCCCAGCGAGGCCGGACGCCGGCTTCGGGACGCCGGCTGGGGACCGGTAAGAATGCGGACCTTCAACCACAAAAGGCCTTTGTGGTTCGGGACCGCCTTTGTGGTTCGGTTTTGCACGGTTCAACTGCATGGCATGGGCATGTGATTGATTCTGATAGGAGAATCTGGATGAAGCCTAGATTTGCAAATGGTTCAGAAGACCAAACTAGTGGCCAGAGATCTCCAAGCAGGAGGGAAGCTTTGGGTTGGATTGTTTTGCTATGTTCCGCTATACCTCACTGTGCATTCAGAGGCTGCAGGTGATAGGGTATCGTGAAGCGGTGTTTTGCAGCACAGGAATTTCTTTGATGGAACCATAGGTAATGTATGGCTGAATCAAACAGCAGTCTGGGTGTGCTGGATTTGCAAGGTTGCCAGGTCTGAGACAGCCCCGACTAGACTTTTGGGTACTTCCTGCAGCGTCTTTGAGACGGAAAACTGCGGACCGTTCGATCGACCGAAAGGTGGAGCCGAAAAGCAGCTCAAAAGGACTCGGCAAGTGGGTTCTCAGGTCTTTTTTAAGCAACGGTTGAACGAGGCTTGCAGCCTTACAAGCCTTTTGTCTCGATGTATCATAATTCATAATTGATATGCATGGGCAATGGTATATAATATAGATATATATATATATATAGTGATGGAATGTGATGGAAGAATTCAATGTGTTGCAGAAGTTCTTCTTTCGGAAGTAAGGATATTTTCTCAGAAACCAGTATGGAAGTGGCGAGTGGGTAAGACCGGGTAAGAACCAGCTTCCTCCACAACACTGAGTTCAACAAGAACTACCTTTGCCCCAACTTCAATGCTGGCCTTGTATGCCACAGCCTTCGGAAAACTGGCAGCCGTGTTGGTTTGTATGTCACTGCTTTGGATTACAGTAATAACATTGGGGAGGCAAGCTGGTATCGCATGTTTTTTGGTGCTTTGTGGAACCCGGTCAAACCCAAAAGTGACATAGTGAGAGTGTGGCGGGCGGTGCGCATAGTTGCAGGTGAGAGTGTTGCGGAGAATATACACTCTGACGAACACATCACATGCAGTGGATGGCATGGTCCCTTGGAAGACTACTTTTCTTTACGAACTGTGTTCGTCCAAGATACTCAACCCAAACAATCAGCAAGGCGTTTTCAGTGTGTTCTCCAAGTTCGAGGTCCCTGCGTTTTCCATCATCATGCAATAATTATTCTCCAACATCCTAGAACCAATCTTAAAACTATTTTGTTTTTGCCACGAGCATCAAATAGCCTAAATTTTGAGTGGTTGGCAGTCCAAATCACTCCAATTCCAGGCAAAGCCACAGACCCACCATTGCAGACTTCCAGGAGCTGCTGTGAGCCCCCCACGCAGCCGGGACGCACGAGACACGCGACCTGAGCCCTCGGATTGGCAGCCCTGCATGCACTGCGGGAAGTCCTTCCGCCCGGCGGGCATGGAGAGACATGTGAAAGTGCCTTGGTTTAGGGGAGGACGCTACGAACGAAACAAAGGGCATCGCTACTAGGGGCTGCTGGCCTTACTACTATAGGAACAAGGACGCTACTAGGAGCTTTTTCGCGTGTGCGCGCGCAGCGGGGGGGTAGAGGACGCGGGAGGAGCGTAGTTTTTGGATTGGCAGAGGGCTAGTCATAGGAAAATTTGAGGCGATTCAGCGGGTGACCTGGAAACTATTGCAAAACGTGAATGTTCTTTACAAATGCAGGTGAACCTTTGTCTAAGGAGAAAGCAACGGGAGGTATCGGGAGGTCAATTTGTGGAATCCGGTACTCTTGCGGGGTCCAGTGCGAGATGGTGTGATAGGATAATATGTAGATATATGTAGGCTGAGATAGCCAATCGAGAGTTCCAGAGGTAACTGGATGCTAATGCTAATGCTAGAGGCAAGTCAGGATGGCTGTAAAGCCTGCTTCAAATGCAACCTGGGTGCCCTGATTCTGTGGAAGACGCGAAGTGTTTTTGACGCGAATGCGGAATGGATGATTTGAGGCTAGCTGCGCAGTCGGGTAAAGTAAACACAATGTTTGCATTCATGTCTTATTTGTGAGTATGGCTTTCCGTATCAGCTCCCTTCAAAAACTTGTTGACTAATTACTGGCCTTAAGAAACTACAGTAAGTTACAAGCTTTAAGAGCATGTTGCTTCGTTCTCCCTTCCCGCTGTTTCTCTACTCACTTTCAGCTCACATCGGCGGAACGGAAACAGCTCCCTCCGTCGTCCGATCTCGCAGCTCAGCGCATCTCGGGGTCTCCAGGTGTGTCAGAACATCATGCAGAACGATGCCAAGCGCCATAGCCAGGAATCCCGGAGAGAGCAAACAGCGAGGACGAAGTGAGGGTGGAGGGGACCCATGGGGACCCTTCTGCCATTCACCTTATTTGGACACATGGAAACTAGCTGCACACCTGCACTGATCGTTAGAAGGAAGGTCGATCTCGCGGCCTAGAAAAATCCTACAATATCGTACGTTCCAATCATACGTTCCGAATCGTCGTACTTGCTACTCATTCTGGGACCCTCAGTGGACATTCTAATAAGGGGGAATGTCCACAGTATTCCATGATGTTTCCAGAAAACAGTAAATGTATTGTGCACTCTTCCGAACTTTTCATGTTTCTTTGGAAATGTGAGCGCTTGCATGACTGTGTGGAGCGCGATGTGCGTCCGTTGTGCTGAGGATGCCATTGGGGTCGAATGCTTTTCCGTGCGCTGCAAAACGCATGGGCGGGAACCCTTTTCACCCTCAAATGCATTTTCTGGGGGGTCTGTAAAATGCATTCGGCGTCTTCCTTGCTTGGTTTGTTGTTCTAGATGAGCCGGACTGCAGGCTTCTGATTGTGTAAATGTGTTTGGAGAAGAAATGCATGCATTAGAGCACTTCACAGGCTTCTCAAAGGGCTCGGCGTCGTGCGTGCCGAGTGCGGCGTGCCGTGGCCGCTCATCATCCTGTTGCAATGATGTCGTTAGGATGACCATTCTCCTGTGAAGGATGCATGCCAGCACCGTCCAACAGGTCATTAGTCTTATTCATATAGTTGAGGTTTGTTGGGCCCATTTGGGCCCTATAAGCAGATCTTAATTGGTGACCTGTTGGAGGGTCCTGGTAGATGCTTCATTCTCTCTACTGTGACATGGTCCGGACGTCGAGGCCGCGAGCTGCGTCTGAAAGCGCAGGCACGGGACGTCTGGATCGCAGAGCTGAGATCCAGGTGTTTTTGGGCAAGCAGCATAGCCGTTGGTAAAGGATGTTCACTATTTTTGTTGGTAAAGGCCTGCAACCGAATCCATCATGTAGACTGGGCCCTGGTAGTGGGAGGTACAAATTCTAGGAATCCTACTATCATGTAGACCCCCGATGAACAGAACCGTTAGATATGAGGACGTTTGACGATCCAAATGGAGTCAGCGTGTTGTCTCACTTCTAACTTGGCAAGTATATGATCTTCAGTGAGGAAAATTGACAACTAGCTGTGCGTAGGAAATCAGATACACCGATATATTGTCTAACTGTCTAATTTGATTCTGAAATACCATGGTTACCATAGATATGCATGATCTGGTGACAGCTGGTGGAAAACTGGGTCATAGCGCATTGGCATGGGGACCCCTTCACTGGGGCCAACCTCCCTGGGTCCACAGACTGTCGATCGTCGGTCACATCAACTGTCGCATCGTCGCGTCCCCACCGGCGCCGAAGTCGACTCAGAATGTCGACATTGAAAAGCGGGGGTGACCGTTTGCTGGCAGGGAAGAGGTCGCTTTGGAGTCAATGAATGGGTTGCTCACAGCTTGAAATGAATGCTAGGTGGACTTCCGTCTGAATTCAACAGACTCAGAAGGAGTTTGAATCCAAAAAGTTCTCCAGCAGGTTCTCCTGTTTGTTGGAGCGATGTAAGTGCTCTTTTGCCCCCATGCTTTTTGGCTGACCTGTGAAAACAGACCAGATTCTCCTCCACAAACGACTGGGCCATTTTGGGGTTCATATTTGTGAAAGCAAGGGGCACTGGCACACACGCGCGCTTCCCCGAATTGTCCCTGCGAGCCGCACCGAAGGCATCGGATCGCGCCCCAGAAAAAATGCTCTCCAAGGTGTCTATCGTGCGGTCGGGTGTTGGTCACTTTGGTAGAACCTAGGAGAACTGAAATGGGTGGGTCAGGATCTGGAACCTAGAGGAGCAGAGGATTAGTTCCATGCTTTCCTTCGAAGGGCGCAACTTTCGGAGTTCACCCAAAATCTCTGGAGGGGAAGATGAAGGTTGCTGCTTCTGAATGTGGATAAGTTATGTTACTATGTTGTTTGGGCCGGTGTACAAGAGTGGATTCGGGCTGTCAGGTTATATTGCTGTCAAGATTTGGGGCAAACAGTCCAAGATGTAACAGGGTGATCTCACCTACCCACTGTCTTTGTTTGATGGAAGGAGGTAGGACAGAGTGTCAAAACCAGTGACACTAGTTTGGACTGGACACAGTTCTGACTTGGTACTCTAGCGGTGCAGCGGTTACGATGCAGTTAAACAAAAACATTTCAATTTGGATTATGATTAGCAAGAGGAATTGCTCACCACACGACTATGTGGTTTTCGTATCGTTTGTATGTTGATTGACGGGCTCTGACATGGTGCATGAACATGTAGTCTAGGAATCTCTATCAAGTCAGGGCTGTTCTGCCCATGTCCGCCACAAACTGGTGACCCAAATGTGAGCACCCTCGCTTTTAGGCCTCGGCTGAGCTCAAAGCACCCAAAGCTGCAGAGCTCCCCACAGAGGTCGCGGGCTCGGAGTCTTCTCCGCTGGGACGGCTGGTGAAGATAGGTGAAGCTTCGGAGAGCGGCACCCGAACCGCCCAAGGGGGGGTCAAAGACAAAGAGGTTGAATGATGGGTTGCCAGAAAGACAGCAGTACTTATACGTTACGAGCTCCACCGGAGCAACTCTACAACCAGCCTACGAGAAGATCTCGAAGATCCTTTCACTTCGTTTCTATTTGCAGTGTTTAAATCATGATTAATCTATATTAATCTACAATATGTTTAAACCTTGGACATCCATGCCATCTTCAAAGATCTTCAAAGTACATAGGAGTCTCTTTGGAACACAATTTCAACTGCTACCAAGAGTTTGCATGTTTCATTGGGTTTCCGTGGTTTGAGCACAAGCTCTCCGTGCTCCGTGCTGACCAGACTTCTTCGTTTTGGGGGAGTCCGTGCTCAACATTTGACACAAGCTGCACTCATGGAAATGGATACATCAAATCAGAATCTTTGGAACACTCCAAGCACTCCGGGCACTGCTGTGGCGTCTCTTTCTTATGCTAACCGTTGCTAGCCTGCTGACGGAGGTCGGACTGGAGGCCAAAAAAACAAAGGGGAAGAAGTCCCGTCTTGAGGGCGGAAGAGGATCTGAAGAACCAAACAGAGTTGTTTCCACTTCCCGAACGGCAGTCGAAGTGGACCATGAAGATATTGCAGTTGTTTAGGAGTTGTTGTTCTTCCGCGTTCCTGGGCATGTCCCACTCTGAAGGGGTCGGTTTCAACCACACCACTTCAGGTGCCGGACAGCGTTCCAATGATCTTCGGCGGGCCAGGCGGGCGATGAGACGTTTCATGGAAGAAAGACACCTCCTATGCACTAATTGACAGCTGTAGGGAATAGTAGATGAGTTTGTACAGTTACAGGCGTCACCTTTTTTGAGGTATTGGTTACCCTGCCTTGCGGGGAAGGCTTTGCGGAAAGTCCTCTCTTTCTCCCAAACACAAGCTAACTCTGTTGGTTGGAAAGGGACCTGCTTTTAGTTGTATGCTGGGGCTCTCATCATCTCTCATCGAAAGGTGTTTTAACGCACCCATAACGGGTTGATGTCAGGTCGGTGTACTCTTAGGTCTACTTGTTTTGTTTTTGCACTCTTTAGGTCTACTTTTTTGGTGAGATCTTGTTTGGGTATCAGTGTTCCATTGGGATTAGTTCCCGGGGGTGACTGGGGGCTGACTTCTTGGAAGCAGCGTTGCCATGATGATCTGGCATTGAAATAGTGACGTGGGAAGGGATGACTAGGGGATGACATTGTCAGGTTCCTGTATAGAATTACACAAGAATTCCACATGAGTCAGGAGGTGCAATAGTTGCTGGAAGAGTTCTCTTGCACCATTTCTGCCATGCCAGGGGAAGCCTGGCAATCGACATGTACATCAACAACCAGCAACCGCTTGTTCTCGAAGAGACAAAACTGTGGCTGAGGTGTTGTTCCACAGTTCCACACCGTAGATGTGGCTCAAAAAGTAACATCCAAGGACCCACCGGCGCCACCGGCTTCCAACATCCCCCGCCCGTCGCGACATGGTGCACGTCGCGGGACATCCGCGGGACGTCCAAGAACGAGGACCCAGTTGGCCTTCTCGAGCCCGGTCTGCCTGCCTCAGGAGGCTGTGAACCTGGAAGCCCTCTATGGCCCGGATCCTTGATGGGTCGATGCACGAAACACCCGACTCCGGACCGGCCACCGGTCGATACGCGACGAGCTCGGAGCTCGTTCCGCCCGAGGTCTTTGGAAGGGCCAGCACCTGAAGCCGGGCTCCGAGCGGCTGGAGTCTCCATCTCGTTTTGGGAGACTTTGGTACCGTGGGATTGTCTCAAGAAATGCGACATCGCTGAGTTTCGGACATGGGGGGCCTTTCCCTCGTGCCTGACATGAGGGGGGGTTGAATTTGGACTTGAGGGGTCCTTGATGACATTGTCATGAGAGTAGTGAGGAAGGAATCTTGGGTCCCCACGAGGCACGAGAGGCCGGATGATCTCTAGCTGTTTGAAGGCCACGCATGCTGCACATTGTTCATTTCCTCTCAAAAAGAAAGAGTGACTGTACTAGGACCAGCCAATTGCTGTCCAATGGACGTCCCCAAGTAGGTAGTGTAGTCCAGTGGACACCCATTGGATGGTCCTTGTAGTCAATGGTTCCGTCCACCTGGCCGCTGGACTGGAAGTTGAGCCATACACTGAATGTGTCCATGGGAATGGTCAAGACCAATTTTGGGGAAGCTGCACCTGCAAAGTAGCCATGAAACATCAAGATGTTTTAATTTAAATGTTTGTTTTGTAGGCAAAGCTCTCAGGTTGAGACTGGATGGTTTTCGGAAACTCAGGGTGTTCTTTGTCCACATCCTTGGGGCAGAACTGAAACATTGAAACATCCAGTGTGGCAAACATCGGCCGAAATGAGGCTCTCACACCCAGCCGCCAAGATGTGGATCAATGGGAGAAGGCCGGTGCGCCTTTGTCGCCTTCGTCCGGGACGGCGCATGACCGTCACAGCTTTGGACATATATATATGGGCCGATGATCTAGTTGATATGTCCAACAACAACAACAACAACAGCAGCAGCAGCAACAACATTTTTCGGATGAAACGATATGATATGGTTTGGAACCCTAGTTGCGAATCAATCACTATGGGCCGATTGGCTCTCGTCGCAAACGCTATGAACGTGGCCAGTTTTTACTGGTAAGTTAGTTACATCCTCGCTTTGTACAATGCCTGAAGCGCAGACGTTTTGTGTTGAATGGTCGCTGCTCCTTTGGGGTCTATGGTATGATGAGATGAAGTTTCATGCCATTTCATTTTCTTCAAAAGATCTTATGGAGTTGATTTAAATAAACAATACATTCAAGTGTCACCTTGTTCAAACGGCTTGCAGACCCATCTTTGAGATCTCGGAAAGACCACCCCTCCGCTGGATCGCAGGAAGTGGAAGAGGCAATTCACGCCATGTCAGAGCCTGGAACATCAGCGCCAGCCACCACGCCCACCGCGCCCACTGCGCCACCGCCGCCGGTGGTGCCGACGAGCTTGGGCAGTGGGATCCGGATGAAGAGTGAAGAGATGGGCGGCCGCAAAGCGGACTTCGGGATTTGTCCGGAAAGATCTGGCGGAGCTTGGGATTGGTTTTTCTCCGTACTTTCGGGAATTGGTGTTGTTCCACACACTTATGTTTGGGACGCACATGTGCATGTTTGTGGATCAACAAAGTAAACACATTGTTGAAAGGTGCAAAGAATTGTTGGATAGGTCGCAATGATAGGCCCCAGATGTTGGTGGGTCTTCTTCTCGCCTCTTCTTCTCGCTCTTGGAATCGCGCGCGGCCAGGACATCAATGCCTTGACATTTGTGTCAACTCTGCCCCTGCCTGCAGGAACCTTTCAGGCCGGAGGGACCGCAGGGGAAGCGAACGTGCATACGGCCATGCCGGGTGATACGCTGCGGAATTTTCAAGCACGGGACGGGTACTCAAAGTGCGCAATGTTGCAGATGTGCAGTTCCCAACCAAGACAACGAAAGATGAAAGCCATTCTGCACTAGATTACACATATACTTGTACTAGCACCCTCCAACAGGTCTCCGCCTGCCACTTTGAAGTCTCCCAAAGCCACCAGAAAAGTCCTGTTGGAGGGTGCTGGTATTGGAGTCAAGACTCAAATCTGATGGACAAGAATCGGCAAGATGGAAGACGTGGGGAACAATGGCAGTAGCATGATATTGGCATATATAAGGTGCCGGTTACAGAATAAAAGCATATATAAAAGCATACAGAGACGGTTCGATGAGAGACTTGTCCTTGGAGATTTCCTGTATCATCCTGTATCAATCGGCCCAGTTGGAGGGTATCACGTACAATAGAGTCACAAGCCTTGTCACCTGGGTACCATGGGGTACACCACATGACATGTGGGAATACCCACTATTCCAGCTTTCCACTGTTTGTGTTTTAGGTTGTGCAGGAGTGTCTTCGTCAAGAGGAGGGCTATGACTCAAGGTGCCTTCGAAGTTATTGGTTCCACTCTCCCCAGTGAAGGGCCGCATTAATGCCGCGTTTCTGATATGAATGTGCACAGTGTGACAAAAAAATCAACACACTGTTGCAATCAGAGACTGTTTGGCGTTGCATGAACTTTTGAGACGCTGCTTCACGATGCACCGTGAAGTTTGGCGATTCACCCGAGTGTACCTGCCAGCTTTTGGGCGCACTGTTTTGCGTTGCATGAACATGTGACACAATGACTATTTGACACAACCCACCGCACAGCCGCGAGGCACAAACGTCCACCACTCCCCAAGGAACGTGTGATTTCCAGATGTGAAACATGATGTTTTCCAGATATGGCTGTGAATCACCTCAACCAAACCATGGATTCACATCCCGAACACGAATCTGTTGATGTTCGCTGGTCCACCAGGGTGCGCGGTGTGTTTGTGACCCACAGACGAGTGGCAGGAGCCCCCGGCCGGCCACACCTTAGAGGACAGCGTTGAAGATGCGCACTCCAACGGACGGAAGACCTGGTGTTTTCCAATGACCAACGGAGAGAACAGCAAGTTGTTGACCACCAGCTCGTGGCAGCTGGCGTTTCCTTTGGCATTCCTGTTTGATGGTGTTTTGCATAACAAAAGTTGGGACGTCCCATGACGCGGCTGCGGTGTTCGACGTGAAACACCACGAAAGGTTGGTCGGATCCTTCGCGGTGTTCGACGAGAGGGTTTCTATTGAGACTGGTTGAACGTTCACCAACTCACCTTAGCACAACCCACCCTCAAAACGCAGACATTTCTCCGGATGCGCCAAGGTTTCATTGGTTTCAACTCAGCTCTTTTTCTTACCTCGTGATCTCGGAATAGTCAGATTCACCAGCACCTCACCACCAAAAGAAAGAGAAAGAGTGCGGATATATACGATGTCTGTGATGTGATATGTGGCTTTATGGCCAGTTTTTTGTGATGATTCATGTGTCATCCAAGCTTCAGATTTGACAGAAAATCCTCAGCGATGCGCTCCTTTCTGCTCTGCCCACCCCAAGCGGCTGGGAATGGCAGGAGCGGGCCACACTGTTGGAGCGAGCACGTTTTGGAATGAAGATGGGCCAGCGTCCAAGGCAGAGAAGTCTGGGGGTCCTTAGAAGGATCGTCGTGAGTTTGTTGTGCTCAGGAGATTTAACAGAGGATGCAACTGGAAACCAGCAAGGTGTGAGGTGGTTGGACACGTCCATTGTGTTTTGTTTTCCATGCGCCACCTCAGATGCTACCATTGCACTCTCGATTTGAAGTGAGGTGTTTTGCCAGATGTCTGGTGTGCCTTTTCACACACCTTTCCACCGTTCGCTCATTTGGTCGGATGAGTCCACCAGCCAGCCAAAATACCTCGACCCGACTTCTTGAAGAGGCAGGCGCTCGTGGGATCCATGTCGGAGGCCGTGCTCCGCCAGAGCTCCGAGAAGCCGCCTGGATGCGGTTCGTTGCGGCGTTCGGGCCTGGGGCGTTCGGGCAGGGCAGGGCGGTCCAGCCGCTGGGGCAGGGAGCAGGCTCGGCGGAGCCGGAAGTTGGGAGCCGGAACCTGAAGGAAAGATGCAAGGAAGGTGTGGAACACGAATGGACCGTAACTGGGCTTCTTAGATACCCCCAACTACTAAAGGTCTAGGATGGGAGGGCCTCTATGTACATCTAGGGCCCAATGAAGGGAAGTGGAACTCCTACCTCTAAAACGTCCCAGTTTGGTGTGCCACCCCGGCGTTCTTTGTTTCCACTGCACAGCTCGACTCATGGAATGAATGGGGGGCAATGGCCGCACCTCAGCAACACGATCCGATAGCCCGGTTGTCTTCCTTTGAACCAGAATCGGTGGTCTCCTCAAATTTGAAGCACCAAAGGAACCTCATCTACAAACCGCAATTTCTACACCTCGCGATGGTGTCGGTTGGGTCCCAGATATATCCCCTGGTTAAAAAAAAACCCAATGTCAAAGTGTATGGTTTTCTCACATTGTGTCCACCAGACTTGAGTGGGGTTGTGGGAGGTGAAACCCTGAACCGGTGTCAGGTAAAACTACTTCTACGATTGTAGTACATCACAAATACGGGTCCACCATCCCATGATTGCGCCCTCACGTCAATACCACTATTCTTTTCTCGCGTAGCGCCTTCGGCGTCTGTTGATAGACGATAGATGCTGCAATTGGCATATGAATACACTGTTCAGAAATTCAAAAATCAAATGAATCTTCCATCATCTCGTTGAGTTCATCGTCATCCGGCCACAAGAGATCTTCCGCTGCAGCCGCTGCTGTCTCTGAGATCCTATGGGCCTTGAAGGCGTCCGCTCCGGACGACTCACCCTGTGGCTCCTGATCTGGCCGCAAGATCGCAGCCGCTGCAGCCACTGGTGTATCTGAGATCATATGGGACGCACAGGCGTCCGAATCAGCCTGTGGCTCCTTGCCAGGTAATCCGAGAATACCCAGCCCAAGATCAAGCGCCAGTTGGGAATGCAGTTGTGGAGGGAAACGGAACATGAACAAAGCACAAGATTTAACAGTGCATAATGTTGGAAATATAGCCTCAGCGACAAAACATCAGATGTAACACCGCACAGTGTGGGAAGCAATTTCAGTAACAAAAAACTCAACCTTGAGAAGGGCCATTCCAGCAAAAAAGTAAAGTTGCGAAGGGCCAGGCATTCCAGAAAAGCACTTTCCAACTTGGAATTTCCAACAACCAAAACATAACGTTGGGAAGGGCCATTCAAAGGAGATTCAATGAACCTCGCTGACCACCTGCGTTACACACTTTTGGGGGGGCAATACACCTCCCTTGGATGGCGCTTCGTAACGTTACGTTGTTACCCTTGCACGTTGCTTCCCTGTCCTTGAACAGCTTGTTTGGGCAGTCAACCCAAACAGTTCTCCGATCAATTGCAGCCTGATGACTGGAATGAAAATACTCTGGGGGGCCAAAACTGTGGGACTTCATGGTTTGTAGTGAAGATCCTTGGCGTTTGCGCTGGAATGTGTCCGTCAGAGCAACGGTTGTGCACATCGCGTGCGTGAGTCACATCGCACCAAGCTTTCGCATCATCAATGCTCACTGTCCTGAAACAAGCCTCATCGACAACAAGTCCCTCACCTGGGTGCACGGTGATCTTATGCATCTGATCAAGCTTGCTGACAAAGTGGATGCCAGCGCGGCATGTGGACAAAAGCACGGATATAGCCATTTCAGTCTTCCCAGTCCCAGGCGGACCACGCAGGATTAAGGTATGGGTGAGGGATTGGGTCTCCTTCCACTGCAGGACCCGTGGAGGTACATCAAAGTGCTCCAAAGGAAAGCGTGGTGAGGTGATAAGAGTTGAAGCCCCCCAAGGTTTCAGGTCGGTGCCACGCAGCCAAGATTTTCTGCACTTCCGCAGCTGGATCCCGAAGCTGCCCCACATGGTCCCAAACCAAAGAGTTGCCACGCATCTTTTCCTCTTTGGCGGCCTGGCGATGAGAGGGAATTATAAACAAAGCACTTTGGGCATGACCACAAAACCCGCGGCATCCCCAACGAAGTGATTGGACCAAACATTGGACTGCCTATGATGCACCTTGTCGTTCCAACCGCGTTGTTTCTACCAAGGAGGATGCTTATCTAAGACTGATATTACGCTTGATGGAAAACAGTCTCCAGATTGTATGTGTGCCAGGCCTTCCATAGCTCTGCCACTGTTGAAATCTTCCTTTCGACAACAAAGTCTGTAAGCTCGCTAAAAGACATGCGCCGGCGTCGTTTCTGCAAGGCCTCCGACGGACCTTTCTGCAGCCCCTCATTCTTCTTTCTGCCAGCCACCTGCGAGGACATCCCTGCAAGCTCGCCATCAGCTTTCTGCTTGGTGTAACTTGACGGATAAAACACAAGGTCACGGTCTAAATCATGCGCTGGTTTCTTTGCGCTCTCCATCATCAGGTAATCCAGATAGGCGCACCAGCCCGCGCGATGAAATGTGAAGAATCCATGGTACCCAAACTCTTCGGCCAACAGCTTGCGAACGCCAGCGTGCACAAACGGAGCTCGAAACAGAAAGATGAGGTGTTTGTGTCTTTCCCGAGAAGCACCATCGGGCTGGTAATGCTTGTGCGGTTCATCCGCCACGGCAGCCTTCACAAGATTGTGCAAGTAACCTTTGCTCTTCAGCGCTTTTGTGAAGGCCTCCAACAGTTTCTCCTTGGAAACATCACAAGGCTTAAGGACCTTTGCTGCTCGTCGATCTTCCAAGTCTTGGAAAAAATGCCGCGGACATGGCCAAGTAAACATACCAGCATATGCCCTCGCTTTAGCTGGTGCATTCTCAGCCTCTGTGGAAGTGTCGCTGTTGCCCAAAGTCACAGATGGTTTTTCCTCCTCATGGCTTGATGAAGAGGACGAAGCGGGCGAAGCGGATCCGGAGGACTTCGACGTGGCCATGGCCTTGGACATGATTAGTGATGATTTACAGTTGCGTGCATTATATACAACTACCATCATAGAGTCCTAAACTTGGTGCGTTTTGTTTGGCAGGAACCACAGTTTGAGTAAACTAAAAGTGCGCCAAAGCTTGCGCCTTCCACGAAAAATGAAAGCAAAGGTTCACCAAACGCTGCGCCTGCCACAAAACCTGCACTTCGAGGTTCATAAAGTGCTGCGCCTGCCATGAAATCTGCACTTCGAGGTTCACAAGACGCTGCCCCTCCTACGAAATCTGCACTTAGAGGTTGACAAAGTGCTGCGACTGCCACGAACTCTGCACTTCGAGGTTCTCAAAATGCTGCCCCTCCTGCGAAATCTGCACTTTCAGGTTCACGAAATCTCCACTTCGAACTTCGAGGTTCCCAAAATGCTGTGCCTGCCATGAAATCTGCACTTCGAGGTGTACAAAGCGCTGCGCCTGCCACGAAATCTGCACTTTCAGGTGCACAAAGCGCTGCGCCTGCCACGAAATCTCCACTTGGACGTTCAGAAAGCGCTGCGCCTGCCACGAAATCTGCACCTGGAGGTTCACAAAGCCCTGCGCCTGCCACGACATCGGCACCTCGAGGTTCACAAAGCGCTGCGCCTGCCACGAAATCTCCACTTTCAGCACAGCCAGCGCGGCCAAAATCGGAGTACTCCCCACACGAAAACGCAAATCATAACGTTGGAATCCAACGTTACGATCCGTTTTCGGCGACAGTTTCACAAAAAAGTGCAAATCATAACGTTGGACTCGGTTCAAAAAAGAGAATTACTATAATCTTTTTCAAACGCGTCCAACGTTACGATTTCGACTTTTGTCCCACGCCTGCCACGTAAAACGAGCATAACGTTGGATTCCAACGTTACGATTCAGCGTCTGGCCACACGTTGGGCCACCTGGAGCTTCAAATTCCGTGCGCCGGCCACGAAACATGAAAGCAGGTTTTCACCAAACGCTGCGCCTGCCACCAAAAATCGAACTAGAAGTTTAAGAAATGCTGTGCTTGCCACGAAAAATGGAACTAGAAGCTTACCAAATGCTGCGCTTGCCGCAAAAAATGGAAACAGAGGTTCACCAAATGCTGCACCTGCCACGAAAAGTGGAGCTAGAAGTTTAACAAACGCTGCGCCTGCCCCGAAAAATCGAATCAGAGGTTCACCAAATGCTGCGCATGCCACGCAAAGAGGTCCCCTGTGCGTGCCACGAAAACTGATTCCACAAGTAGCGCACGCATTGACGGTACCTATGGGACACTATGCAAGAGGTTAAAGGAAATGAGTGTGTTTTTGCATTTTCTACACATCACTTGTGACACTGCGGTTCCTCTTCGACTATTGAGTGAAAAATGGAAGTTCTCTGTTTTGAGATGGAGCTGATCA